AAAGGAGCGCGTTTTAGATTGCGATCGAGAATTCTTGTAATGTGATTGAAGAAATGAAACAAATAATTTTCAGAAATCAACTAAAACCAAATATTTTGAAATGAGGAATTTCGAATGCTATGAAACTGTAATATTATCCAAAAAACGTACAAACTTGATCAGAACGCATCCTAGGGGATCGTTGATGTAACACATTTACCAAAGGAGCTTTTGTTTCATTCATAAGCCAAGAGGAAATTGCTGCGAAAATAAACTCTGAAATCAAAGTCCAAACTCTCTTCTTTTTCTGTTTACATTTCAATTTATTTCTGTTTTATTTGATTGAAAAATGAAGATCTAAGAGGGTGGTCATGAAGTTTGTATGATGAGAAAAATATTAAATGTTATTTGAATATGATTTCAAATGCTTGAAATAAAGTCTCTCAAGTGTGTCAACCTATGAATTCAATCAATTGTAGAGACCATGAGCTATTGTTTCGATTCGGCTATGGTTTATCAAATCTATGGGATGTGCGACTTATTTTTTTTCAAACGGTGAACTGTTTTCATGTGTTTATCGGCATTACCTTTTGCGGCAAAGCTTGCTGCACACACTTCGCATTGAATCCTCTCGCCGGTGTGATCTTTTCGCATGTGATACTTCAATTTGTATTTGTCTCGACGATATGCTCTACACAAATGGCATTGAAACTGACGGTAGCCACATCTATCTTCATGAACCTCTTTTGCACCTTCGGTTGCGTATCCTCCGAAGCACATTAAGCATTGGAGCGGGAACTGATCGCTGTGTGCTGTTGACAAATGATGATTTAATTTGATTTGTTCGACGAATTGCTTACTGCAAATTCCACATTCGATCGATCGTTTTGCTCCGTGTTTTGATTGCATGTGCCGCTTGAAAGTAATCTTGTAGACAGTTTTGTAATGGCACTGATCACATGCGAAAAGACTTCGTTGGCAGCGCATTTCATGGGCTTGCTTCTCGTCTGCTGTGGCAAATCGTCCACCATATTTCGAACAAGCATTCGGCAATTCATCTTTGTGAGTCATTGAATGACTTCGGAGATGAGGGTTTCTTGCAAACGACTTGAAACAAATTGAGCACTCGAACGGCTTTTCCCCGGAGTGACTTCGCAAGTGTCTTATGAGATCAAACTTTCGATCTGTAAAATGATTGCACACATGACATTTGTGCTTCTTTTGCTTTTTGGCCGCTTGATTTCTGGGGATCGCTTCTTTGTCTCGTCTTTTGGAGCTTCCATTCCGTTTCTTCCCGCCACCGACTGGTTGCGGTGGTTGCACATCGAATGCGTCTCCCATAGGTTCTTCGTTATCATCATCATTGGCGGCACTCTCATTCGATCGTTCACGAGGTTTCGAGTCCTTTTCTTCGCCCGTCTCTTCTTCTTCACGTTTGACCTCGCTCTTTATCTCATCGAAGTCATGGCCAAAGTCGAATGGTTTTTCATAATTGACACGATATCTTCCATCAACTCTTGAGCGTGGTATGTTTATGACATCGTCACCGTCATTAGGCTCTTCCTTAATACCGGGCTCTTGCTTGACTTCGACCTTTGCTGATTTTGACTTGCGCTTGCTGCGTCTGCCAGAAACACCTTTGAACAAAGGGATATTGCAACTTTTTTGACCAGAAAAAACGCCATCTTACGTCGTGCCCGTAAATTATTTCACTGTACATTTAGATGGTAGAGCTTGAACAAAAGTTCGACACTATGCATAAACTTGGAAAGAGCTTGACAAACTTGATGAAATACAAATATTTTATGGTCGTTGCAATACCCCTATGCCTTTGAATGGGTTCATTTTCTGCTGGATTCAAGAGAAAAATAAAAAATCAAACATGAATGGAAATGAATGGACTCAATGCAAAACACGTGTTTGTTGTGTGTGCGACCAAGAAAAGGTACATATCAAATATACACTTGCGTCTAAAGCTATTCTTTGACAATTTTCATGAAAATTCCAATTGCTATGTAAATTTTTCATAAGAAATACATCGTTGCACCGCTATGATCAAAATTCAAACTACAGAATTGATAACTTAATGATAATGAAAATTGATACAATAAGATGTAAACCACGTGCTTGATGCGTCTATGCAAAGAAAAAATACACACGACATGTGCATTCAGCGCATATGTTCATAAGTTGGGTAATGTATTACCAATTTTCATGAGCATCAATCGATTTGTATGATTTTTCACATTTTCGATCGAATCACAAAATTTTATATTTAAAAATTGACATCCCAATAATTGAAAAATGTTCAACACTTACGTTTATCGTTCCCTTTTTTCTGCTGAAAGTGTTTTTTTCACGTATCTTCCAATATGACTGCCTCACTTGGTGGTTGTCTGAACAATGGCAAAACCAGAACAACGCAGAGTCTGTAAGCTACAGCCATCGATGCATAAAAGTCACACACTTTCAAGTGCGCTGTTTGTGTTGGTATGTTTCGTTAAGTTTTCATCGCGGTCAAGTGTATACACTTCATTTCGATCAGTAGCTCTTTTTTGAGCAAATTCAGACATATCGGTTGAACTTATGATCAATTTTTCTTTTCCAAATTCCAATTTGTTGAAGTAAATATTTTGACAATAAACGTTTTGTTACATGGAAATAGTGATCATCCTGTTATTCGAATTAAAAATCTGTGACAAGCAAATGACATTTTGTCATTACATTGAAGTAAGGAAATGTTCATCGCTATCGCTAAGATTTATCGTCATTTGTACGGAAAAGATGAGTTTTACGAAGTATTTATTGAGTGAAAGCGATTCAAATTAAAACAAAATTCACGGTACATGTAAAAATAAATCACAACCGGCTAACGACCTAGTCCCAATGTTTCTGAAGAATGCCATGGTATTGCCAAATAAACCGAATTGAGGCTGCCGAGATTGAACTGATTTTGCTTTAATGAGGGAAAATGATATGGATTGAATTCATTGTGGCTTGTAAGATCAACTGAAGTCGTTTAGAGCCACTTTAAGTTATTCATTCATCTATCTGTTGTTGTTATCCACTTCATGGATTGAACAAGACTCGCATTAGAAGTGCATGCTTTTACTTCTAATCGAAAATATCTGGATCCCGGAGTGTGACATTTTCCGAAGTGTTGGCAATGAATTGATCTAATTGACAAGTAATTAGACACCAATTCAAATCGAATATTTGAATAAATGAGACATGTGAACGACATACTTTGGAGCTGAAACTTTTTAATAAGAACTGGCAACCCAAGCGCGACTCCACACTTAGCTTCTAAATGTGACACCGTAGTAAGTGTGGGCATACGTTTTGCGAATAAGCGACAAAGGGAATGGAAACAAGTGCGCGTGTATTAGTCGCTACATTGAGTAGCATCGCATCAGGCTACTCACTACCACACGCGTACTTGTTTCCATTCTCTTTGTCGCTTATTCGCAAAACGTATGCCCACACTTACTACGGTGTCACATTTAGAAGCTAAGTGTGGAGTCGCGCTTGGGAATCTTAATTTGCAGTGCAGAGATGGTTTAACCAAGACAACACATTTTACAAACAGTATTTGTTTCTTTCGTTGGCCAAGAGATTAAAAGCGACACTCGTCTTCTTTTTTCTCTTTATTTCGGTTTCAATTCATTTCTGTTCTGTTTCATTCGAAATGGGAACTTAAATCTAAAGCGATAACTTTGAAATTTTATGTTGAAAATATCCGTGTGGAACTTTTTTTTTGGCTAAGTAAGACGTCGACTAATTTTAGACATTTCGGAAGGCTATTGACTTCAAAATTGATTATCTATACAAAATAATTGATTTCAATCAACTTAACCACTGCCAGTTGAGTACTTCTACATACGACTGAGTATCGTTTACTCATGTTTTTTCCACACGGATATAAAATGTTATTTCAATAATTTCATTTTCTGGTGTATGTTCCTTATAACGATTCAAATTCTTGATGTGTATTAAGCTGTCTATTCATAAGAATCATGAAATATTAATTTAAATTTGGCTTCGTCTTATTGAATCTGTGAAATGCGTGACTCATTTCTTCTTCAAACGGTGAACTGTTTTCATGTGTTGATTGACATTGCTCTTGTTGATAAAGCTTGCTGCACACACTTTGCATTGGATCCGCTCTCCGGTGTGATGTTTTCGCATGTGTGTTTTCAAATGATGTTTGTCTCGACGATGCTCGTTACACAAATGGCATTGAAACCGACGGTGGCCACAGCTATCTTCATGGACCACTTTTTCGTCTTTGGTTGCGTATCCTCTGAAGCATTTGGAGCATTGGAATGGGAATCGGTCGCTGTGTGCTGTAGACAAATGCTGATTTAAATGAATCTGTCTGATGAATTGCTTGCTGCAAATTTCACATTCGATCGATCTTTTGGCTCCGTGTTTTGATTGCATGTGTGTCTTGAAACTAGACTTGTGAACAGTTTTGTAATGACACTGATTACATGCGAAGGGACTTCGTTGGCAGTGCGTTTCGTGCGTTTGCTTATCGTCTGGTGTAGCAAATCGTCGACCACATTTGGCACAAGCATTTGGCAGTTCATTTTTGTGAGTCATTGAAAGCCTTTGGAGATGAGTGTTTCTCGTAAAAAACTTAAAACAAATTGAGCACACGAACGGCTTTTCTCCGGTGTGAGCTCGCATGTGTCTTTCCAAATCTGATTTGTTGATTGTTCTATATCCGCAAGTGTCGCATTCGAAATGTTGAGGACTACATAGCCTTTCATGGTCGATCTTGACTGATTCTTGCCCAAATCCTTGCTTACATTTCGAACAACGGAACTGGTCATGCGTTATCTTATGACGATTCAGATGACTTTTTTGTGTAAAGTACTTCGAACAAACATCACACTGAAATGCTTTTTCTCCAGTGTGAGTTCGCAAGTGTCTTATGAGATGAGACTTTTGATCTGTAAAATGATTACACACATGAAATTTGTGCTTCTTCTGCTTTTTGGCCGCTTGGTTCCTGGGAATCGTTTGTTTGTTTCGACTTTTGGAACTTCCATTCCGTTTATTTCTACTGTTGACTTGTTACGGTGGTTCCACATCAATTGCATCACCCATCGGATCTTCGTTTTCATCATCGTTGACGGCGGCACTTTCATTCGATCGTTCACATGGTGTCGAGCCTTTGTCTTTGCCCATCTCTTCTTCTTCACATTTCATTTCATCCTTTACCTCATCGAAGTCATGGCCAAAGTCGACCGGTCCTTTGTAAATCGCATGATATCTTCCATCAACTCTCGGTCGTGGTATGTGCATGACATCGTCACTGTCATTGGGCTCTTCCTTAATACCAGGCTCTTGCTTGACTTCAACCTTTCCGCACTTCGACTTGCGCTTGCGTATACCAGAAACACATTTGAATGGGTTCATTTCCTGTTGGATTCAGCAAAACAATATCGAAAACAATGATAAAAACGTAAAATTAAATATTGAAGTCTCAATGATAATGAAAAGTGATTCAACTAAATGCAAACCACGTGCTTTAGCCGTCTATGTTAAGAAAAGGTACGCTTGTCATGTGCACTCAGCACATACGCTCATAAGTTGGGTTATGTGCTACCAATGTTCATAGGCATCTATTTATTTTTATAGAAGTAAAGTAATAAGTAACTTATTACTTATTACTTATTACTTTCATTTTATTACTGTAATAAGTCTATCTTATTACTGCAATAAGATTGTAATTGTAATAAGATTGTAATAAGTATCTTATTACTTTTGGTGCAAAAATATCGCAAAAATAGTTTCATGTAAAAAACATGTCAATTTTTTTCAACATTTTTTCGTCTGACATGTTTTTTACATGAAACTTTTTTTGCGATTTTTTTTTTGCACCAAAAGTAATAAGATGATCTTATTACTTATTACAATCTTATTACAATCTTATTACAGTAATCAGACTTATTACTTATTACTCATCTTATTACAAGTAATAAAATGCGTAATAAGTAATAGGTCATCTTATTACAGTAATAAGTAGGTAATGAAGTAATAAGAATTACATTTTTTTACTTCTATATTTATTTTCACGATTTTCAACATTTTCGACCGAATCACAAAATTTTATACTCAAAAATTGACATCCGAATGAATGAAAAAACCAAAATTGTTAATTCCTGCATTCCGCATGAGAGAAACAATTGGTCGATCAAACAATAATAAATTCATTCGTTGTGTTTATGTTGGCATGTAAACACATTTGCAACAAAGAATTGTGCCTGTCTTGCGTGCGCAATGTTGTTTCCATAGTCGAAAAAAAGATGTTTGATTTTAATTGCAACTTTTTTGACTTCCACTTCGATTGAGCGAGCACAAAATATACTATTTTCCTCCAAAACATTCAAATGTCAATGAGTTTGGAGTCAAATTTCATACGATGACTTTCTGGCAACACAATGCGTCGACGAATCGGTGTGTGTGTGTGTGTGTTTCACTCACAGCCAAATCGAACGGGTTGAAGTATTAGTGCGATGTTCATTGATAGATAAACTGATTTTAAATCGTGCGTGAAGTGCTCACGGTGAATGCTACGTCGAGACATGCTCAAATCCTTATTGTTGTTCTCTCTCTCGTACTCTCACACCCTCGCCCACTATTCGTACATTCCATAAAAATATTTGCATTCGAAAACGAAATGAGAATGTTTAAAGCGGAAAATGCGCGGTTTGTCAAGCCAATTTGAACGCAGAGAAATAATTTCCAAACCAACCGAAATCAACTTTGGTATTTTTCTTCTTTGGAATAAAATGTTTTTTGCCGACTTCATTTGTGATGAAAGACAACCAGAAATGATATAACGTCCAATCACAATAGAAAATGACTTGATGACACCAAGTTGGTGGTGTTGAGGAAAATGTGTGCAATTCAGTTGGTCGTGTATATTTTTTGTTGAATACTTTCTGCCGTGTTTAATGGGAAATACCCAAAATGTTGTGATGTTTTTTGAAAATTCAGCAAAAAGCTAAAAAAACGGTTGGAAATCGATTCGAATCAAACAATTGAATGATGAATTATAAACGATGTACCTTGAAGCTGAAACATTAATTTCAAAACGTTCAAAATTCGCTTGTCGATGACTTGCACAGTTGATTTTGTCAATGCAACACATTTGTGGTATAACCAAAAAAATTTCTGCGAAAAAAGCACTGAGAAATCAAAGACAACCCACAAACAAATCAAAGTTATGTCAAGTGGAGCGGTACGGATAATCGCAACGTATATACGCATGTGTGCAGTCGCATCGCATGTGTACGACTCTTCGGAACACACAGACGCAAGTCTGGTGCGTTGCGCTCAAGTTGAATTTAACTTGAAGTTTCGAAGATAACTTCGATTTGTTTGTGGGAACTTTCTTCGTGACAAAGAAGACTTCTCCTTCTTTTTATCTTTATTCAAATTTATTTCGGGTTTGTTTCAATCAAAAATGGAGCCTAAATTTAAGGGGGTATCAATGCATTTTTTGTGTTAGTAAACATAATAAAAGTTCTTAAAATGAAAGTCTGTATGGGATGTGGAATATGTTGAGTTGAAATTGATTTCAAACTTAATTACTCTTTGATAAATCTATGAAATGCTTGACACTTTTTCATACTTAATTTTTGTTACTTTTTATCTTCAAACGGTGAACTGTTTTCGTGTGTCGATCGGCATGACTTTTATCGCTAAAGCTTACTGCACACACTTTGCAATGAATCCGCTCTCCGGTGTGATGTTTTCTCATGTGAGTCTTCAATTTTTCTATGTTTCGACAAATCTCGTTACACAAATGACATTGATACTGACGATGGCCACAGCTGAATTCATGAACATCTTTTGCAGCTTCGGTTGCGTATCCTCCAAAGCATTTGGAGCATTGGAATGGGAATTGGTCGCTGTGTGTTGATGACAAATGTTGGTTTAACCCGAACTGTCTGATGAATTGCTTGCTGCAAATTTCACATTCAATCGATCTTTTGGCTCCGTGTTTTGATTGCATGTGTGTCTTCAAACAAGACTTGTGAACAGTTTTGTAATGACACCGATTACATGCGAAGGGACTTCGTTGGCAGTGCGTTTCGTGCGTTTGCTTTTCGCCAGGAGTGGCAAATCGTCGACCACATTTGGCACAAGCATTTGGCAGTTCATTTTTGTGAGTCATTGAATGAATTCGGAGATGAGTGTTAGTTGTGAACGACTTGAAACAAATTGAGCACAGAAACGGCTTTTCTGCTGAGTGAATCCGCATATGTCTTTCAAAATTTGGTTTTTGCAATGCTCTATATCCGCAAATATCGCATTCGAATCGGCATGGATTGCATAACGCTTCGTGGTCGATCTTGACTAATTCTTGTTCAAATCCTCGATTACATTTCGCGCAACGAAATTGACCATGCGTGTTCTTATGACAGTTAAGGGCTTGTTTATGTGCAAATGCCTTCGAACAAACATCACACTGATACGGCTTTTCTCCAGTGTGAGTTCGCAAGTGTCTTATGAGGTGGGACTTGCAGTTTGCCAAATGATTGCACACATGGCATTTGTGCTTCTTTTGCTTTTTGGCCGCTTGATTCCTGGGAATCGGTCGTTTGTGCCGTCCTTTGCAGCTTCCATTCCGTTTCTTCCCGCCACCGACTGGTTGCGGTGGTTGAACATGGATTGCGTCACCCATAGGCTCTTCGTTCTCCCCGTTGTCATTGGCGGCGCCCTCATTTGGTTGATCACATGGTGTCGTGTCCTTTTCATTGCCCGTCTCTTTTTCTTCACATTTGACTTCATCCTTTATCTCATCGAAGTCATAGCCAAAGTCGACCGGTCCTTCGTAATTCGCACGATATCTTCCATCAACTCTTGGCCGTGGTATGTTCATGACATCGTCACCGCCATTGGGCTCTTCCTTAATACCAGGCTCTTGCTTGACTTCAACCTTTCCGCACTTTGACTTGCGCTTGCTGCGTATACTAGAAACACCTTTGAATGGGTTCATTTTCTAGTGGATTCAAGAAAAACATGAAAAATCAAACATTAACGAATGAATCAACTCCATGCAAAACACGCGTTTGTCACGTATATAGCAAATACGAAAAATGCACACCAAATGTTCATATAATTCGGTGTTTAAGGTTATTCGTTGTCTAGTTTCATAAAAATCTGCTGAATTTATAACGACCGAATCGCAAAATTTTATACTCAAAAATGGACATCAGAATAAATGAAAAATATCCAACACTTACGGTTGTCATCGCCTTTTTTCTGCTGAAAATTCTTTTTTCCACGTAACTTTCAAGATGTCTGCCTCAATCGGTGGCTGAAAGAACAATCTAGAACAACGTACAGTCTGTAAGCCACGACATCATTGCTAAAAGTCACACACTTGCAAATGTCCTATTTGTATTGGTGTGTTTCGTTGAGTTCTCAAAGTGACACTTTATCGATTCGTAGCTGTCAATTGCGCAAATTCATCGCTCATTTCAAAAATGTCGGTTAAATTCATGCAAAATTTGTTTCTACAATTTCCAATTTGTTGAAATAAATGTTTTGAAACGAAACGTTTTGTTCTTTGGAAATAATGATCATTCTGCTATTCGAATCAAAAATCAGTGATAATTGAGAAAATGACATTGAAGCTATGAAACTTTCGATTCTACCAATAAATGATATCGTCACTTGTCCGAAGAAGATGAGTTTCACGAAGTATTCATTGAGTCGAAGCAAAGAAACCGAATGGATGGCTGAAAATTGAAAGGAAAGTCTCGATTGAAACGACGCACATTTTGGTGCCTGCATTCCGCATAATAGAGAGATGTTTATTGGTCAAACAATAACAAACTCATTCGGTGTGCTTATGTTAAAATGTAAACAAATTTGTATCGCAGAATCATACATGGATCGCGAATACAACAAGTGCTACTTTAGATTCTGGCTCAACAAATGCATTAAATTTAGTCGAAATAATTTCATTTTGTTGATTAATAAAATGTTGAAGATCTGATCGAATTGAACCACTTGGATTTACTCTGTCTTTCTGCACAAAAGTTAGATGTGTGAGTCATAGCACATATGAGTATAGATTATGTGCAGAATACAACTGAGTTCGCAAACATATGTGTCAGTTGAACAAAATGCAGTCGAATTGAACCCATGAGAGTGAATACCAGACTTAATTTAAATATTCACAGAAGGAGAATTTGAATAAGTTTGCTGAAAAAAGGGACTAGAATTGGTCGCGCGCAAAAGAGAGTCATATTGCTGTTGTATTCGAGGCTGAACAAAGTCATAGTGCGACAGTACAAAGGGTCGTATTTGCGTACAAACATTCCGAAGTGCCTTTTTTGTGTACAACGTATTCAAATACTGTAGTGGTGAACATTTCGATTGAGTCTGTGATTCATTCTCAGTGGTTCAATTAAGGCTGATGAGATCGAATTCATCATGCATTTATGCTGGAAAATTGGGCAAATTCAATAAATGAAATTTCAAAACAATACAAAAGAAATGCGATTTGAATCCGAAACATTATCGTAAAAATTGACAAACTCAATTAAAGTGCAGAGTTGATTTTGTATCAACACATTTCCCAAACACCATTTGTTCCATTCCTTGATCAAAGAAATTGCTGTGAAAATAAGGATAGAAATAAAAGTCAATTCTCTTCTCTTTTTGTTTCGTTTTATTTCGGTTTTGTTTCATACAAAAATGGAGCTTAGATCTAAGGTAGTATCCATGAATTCTTTCTATTGAAAAATATTGAATGATCTTCCAAACTGAAGCGTACGAAAGTGTAAGTTCAGTTGATGTGTCATTCAAAGGCATCGAATGAATGATCGATTTCCAGCTCAACTACTTGTTAATGAATCTATGGATTTATGCATATATGCGATGCATGATTTGTCACTTCTTCAAACGGTGAACGGTTTTCATGTGTTGGTTAGCATTACTTTTAGTGGCAAAGCTTGCTGCACACACTTTGCATTGAATCCGCTCTCCGGTGTGGTGTTTTCGCATGTGATACTTCAATTTGTGTTTGTCTCGACGATGCTCTTTACACAAATGGCATTGATACCGACGGTAGCCACAGCTAGCTTCATGAGCATTTTTTGCATCTTCGGTTGCAAATCCTTCGAAGCATTTGGAGCATTGGAATGGGAATTGGTCGCTGTGTGCTGTAGACAGATGCTGATTTAAATACATCTGTTGGACAAATTGTTTACCGCAAATTTCACATTCGATCAATCTTTTAGCGCCGTGTTTTGATTGCATGTGCCGCTTCAAATCGACCTTGTTAACAGTTTTGTAACGACACTGATCACATGCAAAAAGACTTCGTTGGCAGCGTGTTTCGTGTGTTTGCTTTTCGTCTAGTGTAGCAAATCGTCGACCACATTTCGAACAAGCATTCGGCAATTCATTTTTGTGCGTCATTGAATGTCTTTGGAGTTGAGTGTTTCTCGTAAAAAACTTGAAACAAATTGGGCACTCGAACGGCTTATACCCGGTGTGTGTCCGCATGTGAACTATCAAATGTGGTTTTTGCATTGTTCTATATCCGCAAATATCGCATTCGAATCGGACAGGATTGCATAACGCTTCGTGGTCGATCTTGACTAATTCTTGCTCAAATCCTTGGTTACATTTCGAACAACGGAATTGGCCGTGCGTTTTCTTATGACGGTTTAAAGCTTGTTTATGTGCAAATGCCTTCGAACAAACATCACACTGATACGGCTTTTCTCCAGTGTGAGTTCGCAAGTGTCTTATGAGGTGGGACTTGCAGTTTGCCAAATGATTGCACACATGGCATTTGTGCTTCTTTTGCTTTTTGGCCGCTTGATTCCTGGGAATCGGTCGTTTGTTTCGTCTTTTCGAACTTCCATTCCGTTTATTTCTACTGTTGACTTGTTGCGTTGGTTCCACATCGATTGCATCACCCATCGGATCTTCGTTGACATCATTGTTGTCGGCGCTGTCATTCGATCGTTCACATGGTGTCGAGTCCTTTTCCTTGTCCGTATCTTCTTCTTCACATTTGATTTCATCTTTCATCAGATCGAAATCATAGCCAAAGTCGATCGGTTCTTCGTAATTCACACGATATCTTCCATCAACTCTTGACCGTGGTGTGTTTATAATACCGTCACCGTCATTAGGCTCTTCCTTAATCACCGGCTCTTGCTTGACTTCAACCTTTACCGACTTTGACTTGCGCTTGTATCGTTTGCCACGAACACCTTTAAAAGGGTTCATTATCTGTACAGAAAAACATAAAAAACCAAACATGAATGCAAATGAATCGACTCAATGCAAAACACGTGTTTGTCACGTGTGTGCACACCATGGCAAAATAAAAATATCCACCAAAAATTAACAATTATATCTTGGACAAACAAAAACAATTGTTTTTAATTTTTTAATTCTTTTTCACAACAAAATGGTGAGATTCTGTGTCCAACATCAATGTAAATGAAAAATGCTCAACGCTTACGTCGTGGAATGTTCTGTCGTCACCTTTCTCGACTAAAAATATAATATTTTTTCTGTCTGTCGTCTTTCAAGATGTCTGCCTCACTGTGTGACTCATTGAACAATGGCAAGCTCAGCATATCCTACAGCGTTGATACTGCGATTCACACGGTTGCTATTCGTTTGACATTTCGTTAAGTTGACAACATCGCCGCATGTATACACTTCATGTCAATTATTAGCTCACTTTTGAGCACAACCGTTGAGTTCAATTCAAAAATATCAGTTAAATTCACTTCGTTTATGTTCGTTTTACTATACAATGCATTGACTACGTGCGCTTACGACAAATGCCGAATATAATCGCAGTAGTCGAACTCTGTGTGTACGACTTAAAAGAAGTGCGTCGCATTCGTCGTTAGCGCTCGTAGTCAATGCATTGTATAGTAAAACGAACATAAACGAAGCAAAAGGCATAGCGATAGTCGTGGATGATTCGCCATCGTCGTCTCGCGTCCAACTGAGACGGTTTTCTTTCAAGTAAGAATCGAATTAATAATTCGGTATGCTTGTTCAATGTGTTAAAAATGTAAACATTGGAGTTTGAGATAACTATGAAAAATTGCCATTGAAAAATTAGGGATTTCATCACATGTAAAGACACATAATAAAACATCACAATATTCGGATCGCATGGTTCCAAATTGATTTCCATTATTTGGAGGTAAAATGTTGATGTTGTTTTGGGAGCATCTTTTTTCGAGAGATTTCAATGTAATAAAGAAAACAGTTGTAAAATAATATCAAACTCATTCGTTAGGTTTATGCTCGTTTATTTAAATGCAAAAAATTTAGTATTTAAAATTGGCCCAATGTTCATGCCTCACGTCAGAACCAACTGTGTTTTATTAAATCTATTGAATGTGTGACTTATTACTTCTTTAAAAGTTGGACTGTTTCCATGCGTCAATTTACATAACATTTACATTACATTCACATTTGAATCCGCTCTCCAAATGAGATGATGACAAATGTTTATTTAAGCCGATCTGTTGGACGAATTGCTTGCTGCAAATTCCACATTCGATCAATATTTTGGATCTGTGTTTTGATTGCATTTGTTGCCTCAAAAAACAGTTTTGTAATGACACATTTTACATGCAAAGGAACTTATTTGGCAGCATGTTTCATGGGCTTGCATTTGTGCTGGATTCGGTATCCTGTGAAATTAAAAATTGCTCCATCGAAACATAAACCTGAAAATATAATAAAAAAAACAAAGGCAATCATTTATTTGTTTTCAAATATGTTTATTTTTCTTCATTCTCGGTGAAATATTATTTACACAATTTGTCGAAATGAGTTGATTCTTCTCTTTTTTGTACAAACTACAAATATTTCGCTATTGTTTGTTTATCTCAAAAAAATATTCAAAGCTAAAACATGAACGAAACAAAACAAAACGAAAATTCTACAAATATTTTGGGTAAATTGTCTAGATGTTTTTTTTTATCTTTGGATTTGTTGGTTCTGATAAAGTTCTCAAAAATACTACTGATGTACACAACACGAAAGCTAGACACAGATTAAGTGCAAATGGTATTTCATAAAAAGGGAATTGCACTTCCTTCGTCACAACAAACTCGTTGGGAAAATCAAGAGCGTTTAACCCACTTTTGCTCAGATGTGTGCATTTTTGCAATGCAATTGTTGCATCTCTGCAATGAATTTACTTATTTATTTGTGATGTTACACTCCCTACAAGAATGTTGCGACAACGTTCACGCAAACGTATCGCCAACCTTCCACAATAGTTGTCACAAAATGCATGAGCTGCGATCAACTTCATTCAAATTTAGCTTGTTGTATTTTTGAAGGCTGCAATGGCTGATTATTCTCCTCAATAATTATTTTAAATAAGTTTTTATTTCTCATTAGCAACGATGAGCAACATGAAAAGTTTAAATAAAACCATTTGATATTATGTTTTCAAGGTAATGAAGTTGGATAAAATTCGAATTAACAGGTTTACGCAATGCGATATGTCGGCGTAATTATTTTGCGTAAACCTGTATATTGAGAATGCGGAATGACGCGGGAAGGTTTTGCTTTACGGCGACATGTTGACGTAAACCTCAATGTATCGCAAAATTCTTGTAGGGTACTCTGTGTAGTACACACATTCACCACTATGGACAGAAATGGGTCGAATAAACGGAGAAAATTACAAAACTGACCCAAAAAGTGGTTCTTGATACACAAATCGAAAAAAGATACTTATGTTCTGGTTTCTTGTAAATTAATTGAAATGCTTTTGCTTTGGTTTTGTCTTATGCTATATCAAATTGGTTTTGTTAAAAGTGTGTTTGTCAAAAATGCTCTCGCGAGCCTATATCATATGAAATCTGAACGTTATTTTGTATTTGTTCTGTTGTGAATGTTTGAACATTGACCATTGGCTTTCGCTGATCGCCAGAGAGTGTATTTTTGCTGCTGAGCATGCCTAAGCTTAGTATGTCTAATTGATATTGTCTAAGCTAAGCACGTCTAATCCGAGCTGATCATCTTGACTCAGGCGCCTGAAGTGTTATTTTAATACATTCACGATGCAAAAATACACACTCTGCTATTCGCCACTAACCAAGTCAACGATTCGCAATTCAAAACCATTCAGCAACAATTTCCAGTGATTTGTTTTTTTTTTCATAGATTTGAAAAGACATTCAAAGCCAGCTTATGTGTTACGTTAGCGGTAAAGCACAAATTTATTTGGTATTCAATTCAAAAGTGATGTTTCAGACAGAAAAATCCGTCCTTTTCGAAACCTCCTTCCTCCCACGATAACCTTCTTATTTAAACAATTAATTTTAATAAATTTGTAAGATTTTTTCGTTTATTTTATCAATAAATTTTGCTAATTTCATATTTTAATTAAATTGTTGCATATATTCTATCATGGTTTATTTGTTGTTTGTTCAGAAAGTTGTTTTTTTTTCTTCTTTTATTTTTTTTCCATTTGTTCAAATCAAAAATTGATGTTTTTTTGTTCCATCATATGTGTTTTGAATAAGTGATGTTGAAAAATACTTAAAGATTTGTGAAATTGCTTCAAAAACTTGGAATAATCGTCTAAACAGTTTAAGACATGGTCATTCAACATTGTGAATATCGAAGATGAGAATCGTGTCATGACGACACTGTCATTTCTCCGTTCCACAGGGAAAACGATGATCGAAGCTCAAGCGGCGGAAAGAACGAAAGAGAGAAAAAAAACCCGTTGCCATTGCAATCATATCAATGTGCAAATATTTCCTAACTAAGTAAATTGATTTTTATTTCAAATTTATTCAATTACATGTTCATTGACAACATTTATTGGTTTTAACAACTTTTCGTTACCGCCCCCCCAAAATGGAATGATTATCACAGTGCAACTTAGAGTCGATTTAAAAAAAAATCCAATCAAAAAATATTGTTCCGTATTGGAATATGCTTGGTTTTTGTTCTGGTTTTGATGTTTGGTTCGTGTGCATCAATTATAGACGTGTGTGGAATTTTTTTTCACTGAGTAACCAGATGATTGATTTGAAACTTTTGCCGGGCTATTGACTGACTGAAATGATTACGTCGAACAATATGATTGTAGTCAACTTCAGTTAAAGTAGCCTGATAGCTACTCTTCAGTCAAAATGTCCGAAACTAGTCGTCTGGCTGAAAGAATAGAGTTACATTCAGCTCTAAACGTGATGGTTCCTATACAAAATGTTTGAATTCAATCAACTTAGCCGGTTCTAGTTGTTTGAGGCTACATACGACTGTGTGTGACTGTTAGTCATTCTATTTCCACACTGGGTTTGACTGAATGGAATTTGATTTCCAATGGAAAATTTCCACAAATTATGGGTCGATTCAAGCAAGCAACATGCGATTTATTAATGGCAAAAATATTTGTCGATGCATTTGTGTGTGTGTGTGTGTGTGTGTGTGTGTGTTCTTTGACATCGTGTGATTAATCATTGCAATTTTTTGTTTAAAAAGCCTTAAAATGTTTGGTGCCCAAGTGTTGCGTTGTATTCATGTCTTCGGTTGTCTCTTCCATACAAACGTTATCGCCTGAATGAACATTAACAAAGACACATTTTGTCAAACACTTTTCGAAAATATTGTTATTGTAAAAATTAGCGCCGAAAAAGGCAATATTAATTATATTTTGTACATTTTCCTTGTAAATACGTGTTTCTTTGTTGTTGCAGCTCAGATACAGCTTTGTTGCTATTGTTGTTCTTGTGTCGGAATGTGAATGAGCTCAAAATCTCGCAGATTTATTTGGTTTGATTCGAAAGTCAAGCGCTCACACAAAAGAAGTTACGAAATGTGGCAAAATATTCATCGTCACTGCTGTTAGCAGTTCATGTAGCAAATTTTATGGTTAGATGTTCAGAGAGAAAGTAACGGAACAATGATTCCAATGTATCGGAATTAAAACCGTTTGGTACGAAAAATTGGAATGAATTGAATGGTCCGAGACTCCGATTTATCGGTACTTTTCAAAGTAAAATACCCGTTATTCCGCTACTTTCGCCCTGAGTTGACACAATGCCATGTTTTTTCTTCTTCTAAAATCATTGCTTTCCTTGAAAATATCCTTTTTTTTCATAGCATTTTTGCACAAAATATGTTTTTTTCTTACTTGAAATGAAAATTGTTTGGTTTCAATGATGACAATGGCTTCAAATCAAACAATTCGGGTATCAAATAAGTGACCACAAATTCAAAAATTGCATTCAATTCAAAATCAGCTGCAAAAATCGCTGTCAATTCGTGCGACAAAGAGCTAACATCGTTTGTAACTTCTTTGCGTGTGCAAATGTGCGCGCGTGCGTCAAAAGTGAAAATGTCTGTTGAAAATAATTGAATATTATATCCGTGAAATGTGTAAAATACTTTCAGTTGGTGGATCATCAATAGGCCCACTGATTTTATCGACAGAATAGTTTAAAGAATCGTTATGTGTTCGGTACTGATGACGACAATGGAGGCGTTGTGGTGGTATTGGTAGTGTTGCTACTGGTTGAGCTACCCATTTCCGGTATGCTGCTTAAATGTCATAAATTCGTTGTTTTCACCAGGCCACGTTCCAAATTGAAGCATTCAAGAACGGCAGCACCGACCGAACTACGTCTCGTCACCATGCTATTGACAATAGTCCATTTATCCAATTGTATATCATACTTTTCGACCGAGTTCAACGATGAACTGCCATCATTACCGCCAATCGCATACAAAAAGCTATCAATCTCAACGACTTCATGCAACGACCTACGTCGAATAAGAAAAAAGGAAAAAACGACGATCAAAAAGGGAGTAGAAAGAAAAACACGAAAGATTGACCGTTTCGAATCAATCAAAAAGACACTAGTGCTTGGCATTATGTTATCTTTCAAAATTTACCTTCTGGAAAGCATGCCTGCGATTGGTTCCCATTCATTACGACGCACATTGAATCGTTCACCTGGAAATATTGATGCGAGTTTGAGTAAATTTTTCACCAAAATAAAATTGAAGAAATTGCCTGGCTGGGTGTAAATACATATAAAACTTACCGCTTGACATGCACATCGTACCATCATTGCCACCGATACAGTATAAATTACCGTCGATTGCTGCAACACCGCAGCTACTTCGTCGGGATGTCATGTCTGGTACGGTCATCCAGCGTCCGACACGTGGATCAAATTTCTCCACCGATGATAGATAAGTGTTTTGATCGAAGCCACCAAGAGCATAGATGCAATTATCGATAACGGCCAATCGGCAATAACGGCGCCGTGTACTCATCGTCGGACACGAACTCCACACACCCGTCAATGTATCATATCGTTCGAAGCTCGACAGAAAACTTGCACCATCATAGCCGCCACCAACGTAGATTAATCCATCGAATGAGCAAATGCCCAAACACGAGCGTTTCGTTCCCATCGGTGTTATGTATTGCCATGCATTTGTCATTGGATTGTACTAGAAAGAGAGAAAATGCAGAAAAATTGTTCAATTTTCTTACACCTGACTCCTTTTCAGCGCCGGTGGCGGATTAGTTGACAAGATCACTCACCACTTCGGCTGTTGAGAGATCCGTAACACCATCGAATCTAATGTCAAAGAAGTCACGAACCAAATAGCGAGAGCGAAAGAGTGTGGGGAGAGAGACAGAGGTAGGGAGAGGGAGAGAGAGAGAGTGCGTGTGTGAAAATTAGTTGATTTAATTAATTATTTTCGCAACAATTGAATTTGCAAATGGGAGCTTTGCCCAAACTAGTACATACCCGCCAACCACATACAGCATTTTACGCAACGAGGTCACGCCGGAACGACTTCGTCGCCATAACATCGACGCAATCGGCATCCACGCATTGGTTCTAGGGTTGTAGCCTAAATAAAACACATTACCATTGAAAGAGGGATTTCGTTTATTTTTCTAAAAACAAAACAAAAACGTACATTCGCATTCATTATGGATCGCAAAAAGACTACCGCCACCTATAGATTTTGTCGCCACCGAACCGATGGAAAACAATTGGAAGAAACGGAGAGAAAAAGTTGACAATTTATTAAACGTGTGTGTGTTGGATTTTGGTGCACACCAATGGCTTGGTGTTGATTAATCAACTTACCAACGGCAAACATATACGATTTCATGCCATCGGGTCGACGTTCAAGTGTTCGTTGTGTCGTCATCGAGCTTCTTTGCTCCGGCAATAAATGGTACTTCATGGCTTCGAGTAGCAATTCTTTGCATTGTGTATCTTCGCGTATAAGCGGTTCCGTTTCGACACATGTCATTAAAAATTCGCGACAAACTAACGGCAATCGTACATGGCTCATCAGCTAAAAATGTGACAAAAAGCACACAAACACAGAGAAAGAGAGAGAGAAAGAAGAATATGAGCAATTAATGCACGGTGCACACCGGCATTTTTTCTAGTTTCGGAGTCCGGCGTTGACTGGGCTTCATTTACCTCGGCAATGTGCTGCTTACGATCGGTGATATCATGTTTCAGCCAATTCAATACGGCAACAAACACCTTCTCTTCGGAGCAAATGTTCAATTGATTGTTGGAAATTAAATCGTTTACCTGAAATTGAAAAGCAAATAATTTCAATTTGGGTTATCTTTTGTGGCAAATACCGACAATTGGTTTTTCTATTCGGAAAACATGTCAAAATCAGAGAACGGAGATGAAATTCGAAGCGATAAGTGAGAAAATTAGTTTTAAAATGAACTAACAACAAGAATCCGTTTACACATAGGCGCACACTTTTCCATTTGCAAATCAATATATATATATATTGAGCCCAGTGTGCTAAAATAGACACGCATCGAATATGCATATGTGTGTTCGAAGTGCTTGTATTTGACACTCAAAGCATTAATTTACCATAATTTTTATGCAACTGTAAAATTCAATAGATGATTTATTCGAATATCAAACACACACACACCTACACACTCGGGGACCAGATACCGATTTGCAACACCATGCTAATTATTGAGTTAACTACCGTAGCCAATTGCTAGAAAAGTTTCAATGAATACAGAGTAAGAGGAGGAAAGAGCGAAAGAGAGACACACACAGAGTGAGAGAAAGACAAACACAGAGAGAGACCAGAGAGAGAGAGAGAGAGAGGGAGAGAGAGAGGGAGAGAGAGCGTGGCGCTCCATCAATTTGAACAAATCATTTAGCACAATTTAACCAATTGATGTACTAGTCAGTATAATCGCATAAATGTATTTTGACTCCGAGTGTTGGGAATGACTTGGTTTTAGTGATTTGCTCAACAACACACAGAACGAGCTTTTGAATACCTTTGAAGTCACAAAAACATGATCCAATTTTCGAATACTCTTTCATTAGTTTCTTTGAATTCGTTTCCGATTGCAGAAAATGGTGCACAAGCCAAATTGGCGAACTACGGCTGTAGCCATGAACACGTTCAATATGTGCTATAGGCTTTGTTCTCCATACCGCCGTTAATTACTTTTTATCCTTTTTCAGAAATAAAACCCAATTCATCCTTTCATTTTTTCAAACTTGCTTTTTTTACTTTGAGAAATGTGGCAATTTCGGTTCAATTAAAATTGCCAATTTTTCAGACAAAAGTAGTCGTTTGTCAGAGATAAATTCAGCATTTCCATTCTTCCGCCTGTGGCATCCATTCAAATGGATTCTTTTCATTTTGATCGAATTTTTCCAAACAAAACAAAATCAACTCAACGAATTAATGGAGAAATTCCGAACATCCCCTAAAACTTGATTATATACGATATTAAATTAGCAACATGCCAATATCAGGAATCACTTCATTATAAATGTTGAAGTTTTCATACAAATGAATTAGTACCGCCACCTTCAGTAACTCGCGCGAAAACCGACATAGTGCAGCATAGCACACCAATACCGACACAACAAACCACACGCACACAGACACGAATGATATTTCGTCATAATCTGTTTTGAATGCTGTCGCTGTTATTCTCGGTAGTTCTTTGCGAAACTCACTAGAGGCGCTACAAGTATGCAATAGCTTGACTGTTCAACAACTAATACATTATGAGTGTATAAGAATATTCCGACTTTGCAACATGCCAATGTATCGAAATCGAAATTTGTATGAATTTGATCATATTATTATTGGAATGTGTGTGTGTTATGCTTTGGTTATTATGTATGTATTTAATCGAATATACACGCGCCATTGGCAGACAATGAGAGTGATGTCCATATGAATATACTGTGTAAATTCTAGGTAGATTAAATCTTCAGATTGTTTTTGGAATTATTCGTTGAATCAGCGCGCTTTGGATTAGGGTGGATCGATTTTTAAAATCTATGAATAGTAATAATATGACCTTACCGAAAAATGCCTTGATCGAAAGACAAAATAGAAATTTTTGGTCCATGACTCGGGCTTTAGCGGCCATCTTAGTGTGGTCTAAGACGATTTTTTGTGTCGGAAATATCCATTCTTTGCTTTCCCAAAAATCGGGAGCATTCATTCCGTATCGTAAACCACCCAAATTGTAACAAAGTCCAAATTGTAACAATTGAACAAATAGACTAATTTTCTGCAAAACTCTGAAGGCACTGTTGTTTTTCATATCATATTTGAGGAGATCACGAAGAAAACATTCGATATGAATATCTGACTTATTTGTATTTTTTCAGAAAAGTGGTTTATTTTAAGACTATTTTACAATTTGGATGGTTTACGATATTCTCAATTTATCACGACGGTCGACAAGAGTATGAAATGATGAAAAGTCTGGAAAAAATCTCATTGGAAGTGATTCCACACTATCTTGACCAGTCAGAAAGTGATAAATGGCAAACTCGGAGTCAACTTTTTTGGGAGAGTAAAAAAGATCTTTTTGAGAGTGCTGCTATTTTCCACACAGAGTTCAGAGAGCATTTGGCTCTCGGACTACCGTAGGACAACATTTTAAAGGCATAAAACTAGCCTAGAAAATGGACGTTCGAAGCCATGGTCAAAAGGTTAACACTTTCAATTTAAGACTCAACTCATGAAAGAAAGTTTCTTGTAACGTGGCTCTCTTTGGAATAATACATTTGCCAGGTATGGTCATATGTGTTTTGAGAAATCGATCCACCCTATTGATGATTAAATTTTCTACTCCTTCTTTTTTATTTAATGATTTCGAAATTCGAACATTCGATTAAGCGAAAACCCATTTGGAAGAAATCGTTTGTGCAATTGTCAGTTGAGTAACAAAAAAAAAACCCTGAGCTGTTCAGTTGCCGATGTAAATATATTTTCGGTATACTTGTGGGTCATATAAGCGTGGTAGATGAGTCGCTCGGTGTATGATTTAATTTCGCTGACATGATTTTTTCATTTTCTAAGCATATGAAATTAAAAAAAAACAGAGACTAAGAGACAAAGATAGTAAGATACTTACTTCACTGAATGGTAGTAAAAGGAATTCTTCAGTTGAAACCACCTGTTGTTAAGTGAATATAATCATGGGATGAATATGATGTGTGTGTATGAGTAAAAAAGCTTTTATTGACAAACCTGTTGGAAATTCTGAAGTGCATATTTGTGTGACCTCGTGTGTAGCTCTTTGCAAGAATGGGCGTCTGCAAGGACAGAACAAAAAAAAGTGAAGAAACCAAGAACTTTTAATGAGTGTCAAAGAAGAACGAAGAAAAAGGGAAAATGGAAATCAAGCCGAAGAGTGTTGAATCCTCTGTAACAGTGATTGAAATACCCGGTAGTTCTACTGGAATCCGGTAGCTCTGAATGAGAAAATGCAGCTCTAAATCTGAATTACGGTTGTTGTGATTTGAATGATTTGACATCTAATTTTTAGATCATCACTTAGTTACTTCTATCATCTGGAGGCCAATAAAATTGTTCTGGCTGAAGCTTAGAAATATCAAAAAATACCAATTTTCGGTAGAATTCTTGGACTTTTCTCCACTCACTGCTGAAACTTGAAAATAAAACCACTTTCAAACTATTCAATTGCGACTTTGTGGTCGTTATTATTCGCCAAAAATCGCAATTTTTGTCCAATTTTTTTTTAATTTGTTCAGCTATTTTATGCAAGTAGAGACTAATTGAATCAAATACGGTATTTGATAGCTTCACTCTGAGATGTAGCTGTTTCGTAATTTAAATCACTAAATGCAGGGAGGTGAAGTTTCAAATAATTTCTATGAAGAAATTGTACTTCAAAAAAAAAGAAAACATAAGACCACAACATATTTTTCAAAAGAAGGTTTGTGCTTAACTTCCCCTGACACAATGGCGCTGGAATTTTTTTTTGTAACCGGTAGCTCTGAAAATTGCTCAATCACTGCTCTGTAATCAATAGTCGCTTAATCTTTTATGCGTTGGGGGCATTTTTCTTCCTTCCAAATTAGACTGATTGTTTGGTGTCAATCAAGAGCCATTGAAATGGAAACAATGTGAACTAGTGTGTACCGTGCGCATGAAAACGTTTAGTGGTTTTGTACACTCAACGCAAAATAGTGTTCTCTGGCTGCCGGATTCTTCTTCCAATGTATGTTAATTCTCATGAAAGCTTTCCATCATGCATCGTGCGAAAAACGAGTGTCAAGAAAGTTTGTCGCACAGCGTTGGTCGGTCATAAACATAAACAGCGCCGTAGCCAGGCCGGCGCAATGGGTGCATTGCACCCTCCAAAAATTTCAAAGGTGCAACAAGTTCGGGTGCAAAATCGGGTTTCAAAGGTGCAACAAAAGAAAAAATTCGATTTTGCACCCTCCAATTTTTTTTTCTGGCTACGGCGCTGAACATAAATAAGCATATTCGAAATGCAGTAAAAACCAACTACACTACACCATCAAAAGCCATGACCTATTTATTTATTTTATCCGTCATGCGACTGTGGTTCGAGAGGAAAACCCCAAAGCAAAAAAAATTGTGTTTTGCGCTCACACTTCGGCGCGAATTTTTATTACATTAAACGACCAACTATACATCTTGCGGTGTGAGTGAGTAAAGTGAGGAAAAAGAACAAAAAAAAAACAAACAAACAGCAATGGCTGTTGTCATAAGTTGTGTGACTCACAACCGCACACTGCTTGTGCTTAGTTGTTTTTCGCCTCGTTTAATGAATAAAGATGAATGCGTTGCATGTTTGCCGTGGTACGACCACACAGAAAGTTCATTTAAATTATAGTCAACGCTTGTGTGCTAAAAATGAAGAGGAAGAAGAAGAAGAAAAGAAAGAAAAAAAAAACAATTCATACCTGCAAAACTGCGAATGCCCAAACAATTCGATGGATGAAGTTGTCGCAGCAGGAATTTACAGCATGCTTCACGCACCGAATGAATTTGCAGTAAGCTCGACGCGGGTAATAGAACCTATATACGGAAATGAAGCGAAGAAACAACAACAAAAAATGAGACGAGAAACATGAGAGGGATATGGGATGGGGAGAAAAAATGAGAGAGAATGAGTGAAAAAATGTGGAAGAAAAGGAAAGAAAAGAAAGGATAGAAAGAGAAAGACGAAAAAAAAGAAAGAAAACCCCCGTCAAGACAAAAAGAAATGGTGAAATAAGAAAGTGTTGACGATATTGGTTGCGATGGGAATATAGAATAAATTGACCACAACTTCTGCTGCTGCCGCTGTTTCTATTGTGTATCGACTACATTTTTCATAATAACTTAGGACACAGTTGCCAACGGCAAATCTTTCCACCATCTCTGAATCACATCGCATTGAAAAAATAAAGGTCTATAACATATTTCGAGTCCATTACCTGAACATTGTCCTCGCTGATTGTGATTTCTCCTGTGTACGCATAATCGATAAGTTGTCGTAATGCCGTTGGATCGACATCATGTAGCTTAACATTCACACTATTCCGTTCAATCATATCATCTGTTGTCCCATGTGAAATTACCCACGTCACACGCCATTAACGTTCGTTCAATTTATCGGCCGGTTTGTTACAGACGTTAAATCAGCATCAACAAAAGTCGCCATCGTACACGTCAACCAAAGTCCAGAAATAAGAATCAAATGAAATGACACACAAAGACCGATGAATATTAACAAAATGCCAATGCATGCTTCACATCAAAATGAATTGATCGTTATGGCATTTTAATGGGGCGAACATTTGAAGGGAAACATAACAAGCACAAGAATGCGCGCAAAAGATGTATTGTTAAAACATGTGACGCCAGTTATGTCTGGCGACGTTTTTTCAGCCCCAAAAGCTAGGACAATTTTTCTTCTTGCTCTCACATACATCATGTGTATTCATAATACGATGGCGCATCAAAACCGCACAACAAAAAGCACAAGTCACAATAAGCGCATCGAAACCGAATACACACACATTCTTTTGCGCGCAATTTTGTTCCTTCGACCAAAACGTATTGTGTTGTTACGTACCATTGAACATTGCATAAAAATATGGGCTAACCGATGCCAACACCACTCGATGCGCATTTATCTTCTCTCCACTCACTTCAAGGATGACATCACACAGCTGTTGATATCAATACAGTTCGATTAGTTTGTCTCGTTTCCACTCTCTCGATGAGATATCCATTTTAATGTGACATTTTTACAATTGACAATTTAAACACATATGCATGGAAGAAAATTCGCCCTTTGTTTGTTGTTTGCCGTTTGTGCACATGGGAAATCATGTACAAGCAACTATCCAATGAAAACTATTGCTTTTTGCAATGAAAAAAAACGAAAATCTTTGCCATTTTCTTATGCAAAACACAAATTTCTCCATCGAATTCACTGAATTGTTCATTATTAACATTCATAGTATTGAATTCAATTGAAACTACGGGTTTCCAAGCGCAAATGTGCTTAATTGACAATAAATTTTTTGAAACAAAATCCCAAATCAAATTGCGAATTTTATTATTTATAATTTATTTGATGGTAACGAATTTATAGAAAAATGCGATTCAACGGAATCGACGAGCCATTCAAGTAAAACCGTTTTTTTTTTTAAATGGAATTCAGAGTTGGTGTATGTACCTGTGAATTTTGTCGCATTTGATTGATGGCCGCAAATGAGGCGATACAGTGTCCGGGATTTTGATGATGTGCCTGTGGCAGCATGTCATCATTAATTGGCAGTGGGCTTAAATCGCATGGCGTTTGTGTTGAACTGCTAGTGACTGTGATGTCCTCTGCGCTGGCTATCGTCCCGTTGGTCACCGACGATGCCGTTGAACTAAATGTGTTTCACAGACACATGCAACGAAAAATTACATTAACAACAACAACAAACATACCCAACAACAACGAACCGTATCGAAGCAATAAACTTTACTAATTGCTAAGGGCAAAATTCGGAATGAATCAAGCAAATTTCCACCCTTCAAAAGCAAAGGTTGGAAACTACAACAAAAACACTGATTTACCACACCGAATGTTCCACGAAAACTGTTTGTCCAGTCGAATGGTGCGTGTTTAGTCCACGAGCGCGATTGACGTGGATAGAATTAGAATATCGTGTCAATAAACTTACATATTTGATTTAATGGGTAAAAACATTTTGCTATCCATTTTGACTTGTGCTTCCGTTGTTGTCAGTTTTCAATATCCAATAATTTGAAAATTGTGTGCTCGGTTTGCTTTGGTGTGTTGCTTCAGTACATAGTACATGTTTGCCGGGCTGCGGGTTGGTTAATGTCTGAAACAACAACAAAAAAATGGACAGAAAATTAAAAATATGAGTTTAATGGACTGAAAAACGGTGAAAATTGTGTTTTTCCTCTTTTTCCTCGTTTTTCGTGTTTTTTTTTCTTCCTTTGTCTTCCTTTCTTCTTTTTCTCTCTTTTCATCCTTTTTTTGAACCAGTTAAACTACCAAAAAGCCACGGCATAAGTCAAAGGGATATTGCAACTTTTTTGACCAGAAAAAACGCCATCTTACGTCGTTCCCATAAATTATTTTACTGTACATTTAGATGGTAGAGCTTGATCAAAAGTTTGAAACTATGCATAAACTTGGAAAGAGCTTGATAAACTTGATGAAATGCATATATTTTATGGTCATTGCAATACTCCTATGGGCACAAGTGCAAATACCATTGTTTTGTGCAACTGAATTCATTAAACACAGTCAATTAACGGAGAAACACAGCAATAATAATGAATGCTAGAATGAATGTTAAGCTCATGACGTTGAGATAATCAATAAAAAAAATTAATACATGGCAATTATGAATGGCGCTGAAGCAGCAACAAGAGCAGAAAACGCAAATCGCCATCGAAGTGTCGACACAAAAGTTCAGCAACACGACAATCACTCGACAGTGTTCTTTTGTCGAATTTCCATCGATGCGCTTGTTGTTCAGACTATAGTCAACGAGCGTTTGTTCTGACACATTGCCATAATGAACAATACTAACACTTTTCGACGACGAATTTTCAAGCTTCGCACATTTATTACGCGTTGACGTTTCGGGCCGGTTTTTTGTCGTGTTTCTCTCTCACACATACAAACTCATTCTCACATTCTCTCTTTCACACATTCCCCCCCCCCCTTCTCTATGTTTTTTTGCCTTTGTCTCTATATTTCTTTCTTCTTTTCATTCTATCATAGTCGTCGGTTCATTCTCGTTGGTTCATACTCGCTGGCTCATTCTATCACATCGCTGAACTATTTTTAAGCTTCGATAGCAACGAACGAACGAACCGACGAAACGAAAACCATCGACGGTCAAACAGAAGCTTTTTTTTGGTGGAAATGTGTACATGCATTGGACACGGTTCAATGAGCGCCGTACAACAATACCAAAGTAGAATAGATGGAAAATGGCTTTTGAAACAGTAACTTAAAGTGCCGAAAAAAAGCATATACTTATAGAAAAAACCTCGTAACCTCACTGATTATTGACCGATAAAAATGGTGTTTTATGTCGATAGTCTCGTTTTCGTGGTACAACAACCGGCGTTTGCACGTGTTTTTCCTATTGTCATCGCTTCGAATTAATTGAAATGATTATTGTGGAATGGAACGAGTACAAGAGTAAGAGAGATAAAATGAGAGTGAAAGAGAGGGAAGAGCGTAAGAAAGAGAGAGAAGCCGATGGCGATAGCAGTTACGACAGAAACAAGCGACAGCGATTGAAAGCAAAAATGACACACCGAATGGAAGTGCGATAGCGTGTGCAATAGACAGAGAAAGAGACAGAACAAAAATAAACGTAGGGTTGATTGGCTTTTGAGGTTGATTGAACCATTGTATCGTCGTTGTTATTAAAAGAAATTGCATGTTAAGCAGAGTCTTTAGACTCTGATTGAATGGAAGTCCAAAGAGAAAAAAAATTTCACATGTTCGTCATAATTTAATGGCTATGTTCGTGTGTAATTTGAATTGCGTTGGTGATATTTAGTGTTGGCCATTGGTTTATTGTCCCATTTGTTTTCCGATAAATGCCAAACGGTGATTTTTATCACATACCATATACGCTGGTAACCTGTTTCGTTGCTCATGCTCGACGACGACGGTGAAAAAAAAAACCTCATCATGCTTGAGTTATTAAGTGACGACCAAGCAGCACTTGGGGTCAATTTTCGAAGCCATACAAATGATATGGATAAGATTGATCGGTTCACTATTGCTCACACACGCTATTTACCGTATTACCGTATACGCAAAACTAACAGCAAAATCATTTCGCACACCGCATTGTCGTTGAGAGTGGCGCGTGTTCTTCTTTTTTTCCCGGTCTCCCGCATTACTGTGTGTGCATTGTTTGTTGAGTGTGAAAAAGAATGGCGCGAATTTCGCCGATAAATATTGATGAATCGTTTGCTTTGATGATTGAACCGCACCGGCGCTGGGTCGGTTGCTGTTTTTTGTTTGTCGTTCTTCGAATTCCGAATTCGTTGGTTAACACAAAATCCACTAAATAATGTCAACAAAAGTGTTGTTACGCTGCTGTACATTTTTTTTTTTGCATTGCTCGCCAAGGATTATCTGCCAAATACTGTATTCATTCATACCGTTTGACTGGTTGAATCATTTTGTAGCATACGCACAACGACACCACAATAATTCAATTTTATTTATTTTTTGTCTCGCACACTGATTTCGACGCATTTTTCTTTTCATCTTCCATCGTCATCGTCGTGTTCGTTTGCGTATTGTTTGAAATCTGTCAATAAAGTGAGCGTCAGCTTTGTCAGTTTTTATTAAATTTCAAGCAGCAGCAACAGCAGCATAAACACGAGAAAAAATTGTTCAAACCGCAGCTTTGAAACATTTGCCAATATGCAAATGTGCCGGCATAGACTCGTTGACTCATTTTTTTCTACCCTAGCTCTCCATCTCATCTCACGTTTTTATGAGTAAAACTCACTCATTTCCCCCCACATAGACTTTACTCATAGTGCAATATGCGTGTTCTGTACACATCATAACGCCAGACCATACTCAATTGATTGCGCTCAACAGCAAATTGAAAATCAATAAACAAAACACAGGCTGCACATCGGCAAATGCAAATGCAAATGTACATATAATTACATTAGAGGCGATACAGGCATGACGAATTGGTATAGCATATCAACCAATCCCGTTAGATTCATTATGCGTATTCGAATGAAGTAGATCGTGAAAGTACAGTGAGAATATGAGTACGAGTAACATGCAAACAGAAAACCTAGTACGAGGTTTGTACTACAAGTCAGAGACTCTGACTCAAAGTAAGAACACGTTAAAGCGTTCACATTATTCTCAAATTCAATTAAAGTCTCTGTATGATTTTTGACGTGGATTTTATATGCAACGCATAAATGATTCCCTTGCGATTTCACTCGATGTTTTTTTTTCGTCTTGTGATTCTTTTCTATATAGCTCTGGCTCACTTGTTCTCGCTCTTGTCATTTTCTCTCTCTCTCTCTCTCTCTTATTCTCTCGTTCTCTTTTGCTCTTCATTTCCCTTCTCCATTTTTTGCGAATCGCACTTCTAAAATGGTACGCAATTTTTCATAATTCAATATGCGCTCACCCGGCGCGACCAGACATTGCAATTCGCATTCTTGACTCGGTTCGAAATGTGAAAATCGTCTTGGTTTTGGGTGGTAAAAAAAATCTGTGCGTTCGTTCTCGTTGCTAGCGTCGAAGGGATAAGTACGTGAAATTAATTAAAGCCGAAAATGTAATTAAAACCGGCACGATTGGGGTGGCGCACACACAGAAAGAATGTTCAATGTTGCGAATGTTACTATATTAGATTTGTTTGTTGCAAAACGGAAAGAATAAATGTAAAGAACTAAAGCTCAAAGCGAAATCATTTATACTAAGCTAGCTGGGATTATGTTGTGTCTGCTTTCCAACATTTAGCACTCCAAAGAGTGAGAATATATTGGCGCAAAGCGAAGTTAAACAAAGAAGCAAATGCTGTGCTGTAACATTGAAGCGACCACATATGCATGGTATTTGCATTTTCATGCTGCTGCTTATACAGCTCCAGCTTGGTGCTAAACTGCATGTTGCAACATCGCGTTGCAATTCGCATTTGAGAATCGTTCATTGTCTTCCAAAGCACGTAGTTTACAACTTTTTATTTGAAAATAACTATTTTACACATTTTGTTTCAAGCTGCACAAAAATTCGTGGCAGAAAATGAATGGATGCACATGCACACCGAGCATGCAAACAAACTATTATTGTGCGCCAAATGAGAGCAGTCTCGAGAAAAAGAAGAAAAGAGGCGGAGAGAGAAAGCAAAAAAGAAAAATTATTCTTCCATATTTTTTTGTTCCTTCTCAGAAGCTAGGAACAATGGCTTTGCCATGAATGAACGGCGAAGTTTCGTTGAGGCCATAATTTTACGCTTAGCTCGTGTGTTTCACCCTTTTCGAGACCGTCGTCAATGAGACGTGGTAAGCTTTTATCAAGTGCTTTGACGACTGTTTACATTTTGTTCGCGCTCTCTGCTTCTCTCGAAATTCAAGATGTTTCAATGGGTCAACAACATCCCCTGTATGAACCATCACATCCTTCGACCGGAATTGAATCCTTTTGCTTCAAGTTTTCCGCTACCATCATCAACCCACACAAAATGTTTTCACATTATTTAATTTCTTCGTTCTCTCATTGGATTTTCTTCCTACATGTTCAATCTACTCTGCGAGACGCTGTGCGACGAACACATTCGCAACATTCGCAACATTCCAAACAATGACTTTTGCTACGCGCGCGCGCGCACTCGCTTGTCACGTTTTATGTTCTTGTGCATTGTTGCGTGTTTGTTGCTAGTTATTATTGTGCGCACATTCACCGTCCAACAAACATGATGATGAATTGTAATTGGCGCGAAGAATATCGCGTATAATTATGTACCGTAAGTAAAACGTGTGTTTGTGTCGATGGAAACAAATGTGGCTGAGATAGCACCAAATGCATACGACACACACTCATCACAACTTCATAAACAGTTTACGTGACAAGTTTTATACAATAGATTGTCTGGAGCGTGCGATAAAAAGACAAAAATCCGTTTCACGTGTGTGTGCATTGTGTACAACGCTCAATCGGGATATGCTCAACCGTGTTCGTTGCACCTCTTCAGGTATTTTTTTGTCGAAATTTTCCATTTTTTTTACAATTTTACAGAATTGTTTCTTTCAATTTCTTCGATTTTCTTTAAATTTCGTCAATTTTCCCTTCAATACTCTC